TAGTGATTTACTGCATAGCTCCAGGCAAAACGTGTACCTAAGCTGTAATATTTTCTTCTAGCTTCCAGTTTACAGAAAGCTTCAAGATCCTTACTAGGAAACTGATGGAAAAAAAAAGGGCAAATTATTATAATATTCTGAATTACTGTTTTTAAGTGCACTTTCCTGCTTCATGCTCGTGCATTAGCGCTCCTCAAAGCAGTGCCTAGAATGACCTCTGAAAACAGAGAAGAACCAAGCCCCAAAGAAAGGAGATGTAGTGAGCTGTATGAAACCATAGCAAGAGAGGGTTAACACGAGGAACTTGTTGCTACATCTGGAGGTATCTCAGGTGGGTGATTTATTCGGTGTGCCATTAGAAAACAGATTTCCCCTACACAGAGGGTGGAAGAGCCTGGAAAATACTTGGTGTAAGGAGGAAGTTGGAAAGTATGAAGGTTGCTCTTACATAGGAGGAGGAAAAGGAGAATAGTTATTACAGCTGGGCCCTTCTGTTATGGCTCTCTGGAAGAAGAATGGGGAAATGAGGAAGACTGAGTGCTTCCTTACAATGCTGTGTTTGGTCCCATTCCTTGAAAATAAATTTGGACTTGAAGTGTTGCCTGAGAAGTGGAGGGGCAGAGGTTCCTGCACCAGAGCTCTGGGGTGCTGCATGGTCTTTTGGGGAACTGGGGGATGGGGAATTCTCCCAAGGGTGACATGAGAGGTGATCTGACTGCTGTGTGGTGGCAGAGGTGTGGATTGTGAGACATTGGTGTGACTTTCCCAAGGACCTCAAAGCTTGGGACACTGAGGGGTGTGCAAGGCAATGGTGCCCGCATTGACTTTGCAGATCTTCCAGATGCAGTTTTATCAATTAGCTAAATGTAGCTCCTTTCTGGGTGATGGAGAAGCTCCTTCTGTAGCTCCTCCAGCTGCTGGAGAAGAGAGTTCAAACTCCTGGCTGCTGAAGAGTGACCCACGCCTGTTCTGAGCTTAGAGAATACCTAAGAGCCAGCCTGGAACACCTGAAACTGGCCCTCCATGAACCTCTTTTCAACTTTCCTGGTTCTTCCCCTTGTCACCTAGTGCTGTCCATCTTTGCTGAGTTATCTAGTTGTCTTCTCTTCCAGCTGCTCAGCGTAGAAAGCCCGATTCGGGTCTGACAGGGTGAAGCCAAGCTGAGTCCACTCGGATGATGGTATTTCTGCCAGGTTGCAACAGCACGTGGACCTGGGGGAACCTGTTACAACAGCTGAAAACCACCTCTGGGAGCCTCCCAGAGGTGGCCCAACCGCTTAAGAACCAGAGTTGGGCTCTGCCCGCTCCTCCGAAGCCACCAGAGCTCGTGGTCCAGGCTGTGCCGTGCAGCTGATGGACCTTGTAGTGATGTGGCACCCGTGTTCCTGTCATGCTCAACGGAAGGAGCGTGTCCTGGAAGTGTCCTCGCTGCTGCTAGACTTGATGCTCAAGGGGTGGCGATCCCATTGAATGAAGCCGTTGACATGATGGACTCAGACCAGCACTGGGCAGCTGAGCTGTGACACCCTTGGCGACGAGGGAGCTGGAGAAAGTAACCTCATCATCAAGCGCTCCCTAGGAAGGGTGAAAAGCCGCTGCTAGCGGAGACCCCGCTGCTCGGGCCTCCCCCCGGGAACTCCGTCCCTTCAGGGAGCAGCCAGGTAGACCTGGCCGCCGCCGCCGCGGGGGCCCCC